AAGTTTGCTTTGGACAAATACGACTACAGGTCCTGCTAAAGGTTAGATACCCGACGAGCAGACGCAGACGAAGCAACGGCAGCAGCACCACCACCACGACGGGCAACGACATCACGGTCATCCGGAGCATCAGCAGGTCTACATCGTGAAAGCACGATTCGTTTCTGGCTCGTTTCTTGCGGACCCAGTCAGCTGTGACGGCAAAGTCTGCCGAGCCCTTAGGAACAGGGTTGCGGCAGCTGCACCTGTCCTCTTCAGAGACAGGACTCAGCTGTCACAGCAAGGTTTGCCGAGCTCTTGCAGCAGCGGCTAACTGGGCCCGTGAGTGCTGGACGTGATGCACGGCGGACCGCTTCGTGGATAATGTGCGAGCATCAGCACTCCATGCCGTAGCTCCGTCTGCCATCAGCGTGCTTCCTGGCTTGACTTGCTTGAGCAAGCCCGAAGACAGAATCTCCCTCATAGATTTTGCGGAAGTACCAGGCTTTGTGTCTTTTGGACCATGGAGAGTCATCCGGAAAGCAGAGGCTCCTTGCTCTCTCCGACATGACATGACTGCAACTATTGCCTAAACCACCTCACAGTCGACCTGGAGCTAGAGTCAATAGCTTCGAGCCGGAAAGCAGGTTTCAACTTCTTCGAAAAGCGGCAAGCACCACCTGCTGACGTAACATTGGAGCTCTGAACCACACGGGCTGTCCCAGTCGCGCTTGCGAGGATGCCGTCGAGGAGTCTGAAATAAATCCTCGGCAGCTGAGACTTCTTCCAGCCGAGCAGGAATCGCAAGCTCCGCCGCCACAGCCTTTGACAGAAACACGGGAACAGGCAGGGCTGGGCATGGACCATGTGCCACAGCCTATCCGCCTTGTTAGGACCCCTGTCGAGCGCTTGCTTTTTTTGGCCGAGCATCTTTCCTCTGCCGCAGGAGGGGCAGCGGATTCCGCCTCCTTGTTGGTCCTTTTCTTGCAAAATGGCCATTGCGCACTGCCCCAGCACTGAACTCACCTCTCGCGCAACGCCATCCAGCTGGTCCAGCTTGTGGACCCTCTCGTGGCTCTCCGAGTATACCTTCCGGGCCCGGGCACGACAGTGGTGGTCAGCGACGTCGTTTGCCGCTTGCGGAACAAGTTTTCGCGCTCAAACTCCTCAATGATCGCCTTGTCGGTCCCATGAGACAGAACCCACGTGATGCTGAGTCTGGCTCTTTCGGTTCGGTCCGAATGCCATGCAGGGCACATGGCCGCTGTGAAAACCCTTCGCTCCGCCTGCCGGATAGCAGGGGTACAGTCAACCGTGATATCGAGGCGCAGCTAGGGACAAGGTCGAGGAGCTGTTGGAGGGCATGTGCTTCACCTTGGAGAACAGTGTGCCCAGGGCCAAGACACCCGCGACCCACCTGCCCCATCGACATCAAGGCCGTTGGTGCGGTAGGCCACAATGGCCCAACTTACAACGCACATCCGGGGATGAGAGCTGTTTGGGCCCCTTTCGCGTCCGTTGCAAACTTGCACCCGTTCCAGTCCGGGTCGGAGCGCGCGAGAAACCCCCCAAACTTGCGAATTGGATTCTTCTCCATTCGTGTTCGGAGGCAGCGCCGCGGCGTCTCGCGGCACCAACCCTCGATCCCATAAGCTTTTAAGAGAGGAAACTCATTCTGCCATTTCTCCCAGTGGCTGGGGATCTGCATCCTTGTCCTGCCAATACTTGATGTGACGCATAGTGGCTGGTTGGTTGCACTTCGGGCAGGTAAGGGAGGTGCTCATTTTACCCCTCAAAACCGCACCTTGCCACAAGGCCCGCAGGCCGATGAGCTTGTCGGGCTTGCTCTTGCGCTGCTTCAGCATGTGACGCACCACCGTCCAGTCCACTCCCTCTTGAAGGTCCTGGCAGGACTCCTGCAGGGCCATGAGTTGGCTGCGCCATCTGGACATGCCTGCGGAGGACCTCTTCAGCCTGGAAGAGGTCCCATGGCCTGTCAAGACGTAGCCCCAAGCTCCTGGCGCCTCGACCTCTCTCGGGTATGCAACCAGCGCGCCTAGGGGGCAGTGACCCTATATAGTCCCAACAACGTCCAGGTCCGTCGAGCCGGGACAAAAAACCTCCCATGTACGCTGGACCCAGGAGGCTTCTTTGGCAAGGACCTTGCTAGCGGTTTAATCTAAGCAGCTTGGTACTGCAGTTTTCTCCTGACGTGGGGCACCAGGAATGCTTATGGCCCCAAGCCCGTTGTCCAAGGCATCTAGGCAGGCGTGCCGGATATACCTGCAGTTCACTGTGCTCAATGAGCTCTGCTAATATCCGTGGGATTGTGCCCACGTGATTCCTGTTCTCCTTCTGCTCGTCAATGATCCTCTGCCTCCTCACAGGGTCGGAGCCCGGGCCCGCGTCTTTAAGATATGTCATATCAAAAAAGATCGCAGCCCACCGGGAGGTAATCTGCAGCGTTTTTGCTCCCATTCATTTCTAATGCGCTGGATGGTCGGGTTGTACTCGTATATACCCATGCGTGAAGATGTCCATCACCATTGTAGGTGGGCTTGGGCCGAGCACAACGGGAGTTAAATCCCGCCTTGGATTCATCAGGGTCGCCGGTCACGGATCGATCATGATGTAGCCCCCCTGATGTGGCTGGCCGGACTATCCCCGCAGCTGCAGAAGCCCCGCGGGCCTCGTGGCAGGCGCGGAACCCTTGGGCGTTTCCTTTGAAACGGCATTCTGCGTCACCAGCCCACTGACCGAATTGTTTGCATCGTAAGCAGCGACTCTTAGCCTTAAGCTCGGTGCGCTTAGCTTTCCTATCAGCAATCGTTAGGTTAGAACTTCGAACGGATAACCTTGCCTCCTTCCCTTTGTCTTTTCCTTTTCCCTAGCCCTTGCCCTTCCTGGCGGGGGGTATTTGTAGCTGCCAGCGGCACGGCCTCTGCATTCTCCTCGCCGAGGGTGTCCTCCTCGAGCTCCGAGACGACCGCCGCATAGGCGTTGAGTTGCATTTCAACGTCTGGCCACCCAACCGTAGCTGACGTTGATGATGCCAACATAGATATGTCAGAATGTGCCTCGAAAATCCTTGATGGTCTCCGTGGGGATGCCTTCAGTATTGCTAGCGACATTGGCTTGCAGCGACTGTTGTTGCCGGATGGCATAGAGCATCTGATCGAGCAGATCCGTCAACAAGCCTTACCCCTCCAGTCGGAGGAGGCTTCTGAGTTGTTTCGACAAGGGCAGTTGATCGCTGGGCCCCTCGCTAAGCAGCAGGGCGAGCCCATGCTCTCGTGCATCGCCCGCCGAATGAGGTGGTGGTCCACGCTCCGTGAGTTGGATCCCGAAAGTAGGCTGTCAGAGGCGATGAGGGCAAGCCTACTCGTGGAACTGTCTGGTTTAAGCGACAGGAGCAGCTCATGATTAAGACGGGACCAGCGTACTTGTGCAGCATCATTCCGCGGTGCACATGAGAGAAAGGATTCTCACCGAGATGTCGGATTCCCATGGACCAAGGTAACACCCTGCGTAGCACGACAGCAGAACGCAACCCCGAAGTATGGGTACATTGGCTATGGCTACGGTGAAGACGACGTCGAAGGAGCAGACCACCGAAAACCTTGGAATGCTTTGCCAATCCACTTTCTGTGCGACTGGCTCCTGGCGAATGCTGCGCAACGCATATCCTTCAGGACCTCTCGCCTGTGTTTCTCTTTGTGTTGCAACACGCGTATCCGTGTTCTAAACTCCCAGAAGCGGTGCCCGTATTGATATGCGATCCGGACTTTGTCTCAGCAGGGGCTGCATTGTGTCCACTGGGTTGGCCTATATTTCAACTCCGCAACGCTCGTGGGCTGGATCTGAAGTACTCCGGACAAGCTAGCGGCTCTACTCTACAACAAGTTACTTCCTAGGACACGAGTGAAACAGCACCGCTGGCTTCGCTACCAATTTGAAACGAATGCCAGCTTATGGAGTCGACAGTGCATACAGGCTAGCCAATTTTTTGCTGCGACTGAAGACGTCTGCGGCAAGGTACATCTGGCAAGGGCTCTATACAAGCAAGTGCTGGGACGACTTCTATACAAGCACAAGCAAGTATGTCCCTAATATACAGAGGTCAACACGACCTTCCTAAATCAGAGTCCAAAAAGGAAGGGGGATTTACACGGTGGTATAGTGGGTCACCACCTCGTGGAAGAGCAAGTAGACGGCTTCCCATTCAACCCATCTAAACAAGCGCAAACAGTTCAACAATGGCAGATCCCGGGCCCTTCGCCTGCGGCCAGGACATGGATCCAAAAGGCTGCAATGGCTGCAACAAGTCGAGCAATACACACGGATGAACCCCCTGGTCATTCGTGAAAGCTCGACAAGAGGTGCCGCAGACGACGTGCAGGACAAAAACAAAAGCACCAGCAGAAAGTGCAGGAAGGACCCAAATCAGACCAATACAACCGAGGCAGGGACAAAATGCTGGGGATGCAGAACAGCAAGCAAATATTCAGTAATGCGACCACTTTTCCGATGTGTTATTGACTACTGAACGGGTTTACCAGCGCAAACAGGCCACCTTCCTCGGCCCCTGAATTAGATGCAGCTTGAATTCATTTTGCTTGGGTCGCGTCCATGTGCGTCCGACTGTACCCTGAACCGCACATAAAACAGATGCACGCATGTGTTCATGTACATCGGTTATCTGTCATTTGTATGTATTTCCTTATATTCACGGCAGATGTAGACATATGATTCTATTGTATAGATAGATAGAGAGAGAGAGAGAACATTTGCATTTTATCATGGTGTGTGTACAAACATTCACTGGCAATGCGCCGTGGACAGGACTGAGCGATAGCCAATGAGCCAATCACGGTAAGTATTGCAGCTGGAATCGTGAGAGCCATGATGGTTCTGACAGTTGAGAGCTAAGCATTTAGGAAATGTCACGGCTTTGCGGGTCGATAGTTCTGCAATGCCACACTGCATTTCTGCATTATGCACAGATCTGCAAAGCTCGTGGCCTCCACCTCCTGCACATCCTCGTCAGGCATTGCCTTGCGATCTGGGATCTCGCGCACGGTTCTCCAGGTTGAAATACGGAGGCTCCAGTTCTATGCTCCCCTTTTTGTTGACAAGTTGGCACATTTCTCTCCGTGCATTTGCTAGACTACTGGGCCTTGTCCTGCAACGGGGCTGCATGAAAGCAACAAGCTTGCATCAGTTGGCCTTGCCTGATGAGGTGGCGGCGGGATTTGAGCCATCATGCTACCTGCCTCGGCATGCTGGCTCAGCATGCAAGAATCATTCGCTGAGTTGCTACTTTCTCTTCAAACTGCAAGGCCCACGCTTGAGCGGGATGGCCTGCAACTGTCCACACAGCGACAAATGCGTGACTGAGCAACTGACGCTGAGCCCGCGGCCCATGCAAGGCATGCCAGGGTGCATTCCCTGATGCATCTGCATGCCCTGATGCTGCATTCCCTGCAGCATGCCTTGCTGATGCTGCTGCTGTTGCTGCTGCTGCTGCTGCTGCTGCTGCTGCATGCCGTCGCCGTTTAAGTAGGTCAAACTCAGCCAGGCAGGACATCACATCGAAATGCTCTTCAAGTGCAACAAGCAAGTTCAACTTGCAGAGATGTTCGCATGCAAAAGGCGAAGGAGCTGAGGTTAGAACTCAGTGGCCTGCGGCTTGCCGTCTCTGTTGAGAAATATCTGGCACAGGCCGCCCGTCCCAGGTTTGCTTCTGAGCACTACTGAACCCATAATGTTGCAAGTTTTGACCCCCGAGCCACACATGTAGACTCTGCAGGGAACAGGCCCTCATGTGACATGATCTTCTCGCGGGCGTTGCGCTCCAGCGGACTTCGCTCTCTGCGAAAGCTCTGAAGGAAAGCTCGTGGCACCGCGAAGGAGACGGCGTCGCCCTCCTTGAAGGCGCCCAGCTGCTTCCCGTGTAGGAACACGTCCTCCAGCCCAGTTGCAAAGCAAGCGGTATTCACAACTGGGAACTAGTGCTTCAGGGTCGCAATCACGTACCATACTATTTCAGCCACCATCACGCTTTTAAATGCAGAACGCGTCTGCCTTTCCGCCGCTACGAGTACGTGCCGTTCTATATGAGCTCGAAGCGACAGGGGCAGCCGTAAATGCTGGCCAATCTTACCCGTCCTTCTCTGGGAACTTTTGCCGTAGCTCCGAGCACCTGCACAATGGCCATTCATGGCCATTCCCCAGTTGCTGATACGTGGTCTTTGTAAGTACGGCAAGATGTACTCAGAATATGAGCTCATGCATACGGTGTGCCATTGGTCCCCGCCTGATAAATCCGAAGCCTTTGTCGGCCCGGTATGTTGCAATAACCCCCTCGTATCGCCGGTCCTGCAACAAAGAGGCAAACAAATGGCACGGCACGAAAGTCCAGCACAGCACACAAGTACTCTATGCCGGCTGTCCGTCAAGCCAGGGACGTGCCTTATCCATGCTCACTTGATACTGCGAGGCGAGCCATGGGTGGCCCAGTGTGCAACCGAGGCACCCCGACTGTTGCATCTCGCCTGGCCGGCCGCTCTGAGCTCCGAGGAAAAACACGATTCCTAGCTCTGCCGTCTGGGCCTTTCCCGTGCCCCGCGCCGCGCGCCCCGGGACCCCCCCAAGGCACTCCCGCCCTGGGCCGAAGCCGCGCTGAACTGAGCATCAAGAAGACGAAAACAAAGTCCCTGTTGCGCTGGCGCAATGCCTGCTTTGCAACCACGAAAAGTCACTAGTCCCGTCACAAACCAAAGGGCTTTTTGACTTCGACTTCGAAGCTCCAATGACTCCAAGCCCGAGCACATCCCTGTCGTCTCGCGTCGCTCACGCGATCAGAAGTTTAGGCATGTTTAGGCATGTTTAGGCGGCTTAGGCCGGCTCAAAGGTTCTCGAGCATCTCGACAGCCTCCTTCAAGTCCGTGATCTCCTGCTCACGCTGGGCCTTGCGCTCGGCGTATGATTTTCCTGTGTCGATGCAGTCCGGTCGCAGCTTTTCCAGGTAGGCATTTGCGGCCTCAAGCTCCTTTTGGGTTCCCTCCAGATCACTCTCACGGGTGCTCAGTTCCTGTGCATCAGAGTTCTTTTTCGTGGTCTTCTGCTTCAGGGTCGACTCCTTAGTGGCCTTGTCAGCTTTGGAATCGTCCATGAACTCATCGTACTCCTTCTTGCCTGCTTCCTCTGCCGCCGTTGTCTCTGCCTCGAGCCGCGCGAAATCGCTCTCGATCACCTCCATCATGCCTAACACACCGCCGCTTTCGCCGCCCATGCCTGTGTAGGCCTCGTCGCCAAAGATCTCCGGCTGGCCATGTGTGACAAGGGAAGCTGAGCTGGATTGGACAAAGGATGTCGCACCAGTCGCCTTGGCGTAGAACTCCTTGAGAACTGTGAGAGCTTCGGCCACCGCGGCCTGTGCTTCCTTAGCATCCGCGACCGCGATCTTGTTCTTGGCCGCCTCCTTCTCACGAAGGTCCGTTGCACTTGCCATCCCGGCATCCAGCTCGGCAATGTCCTTGCTGAGCGTGTTGCTCTCGTCGGTAAGCTTTGCAATGGAAGCCTTCAATGTGTCAATCTCCGACTGCAAGGACTCGGAGGTGTCCGTCTTCTCCTCGCGTGTGGCCTTGTTGGTAGCAAGTTCCGTGACACACCAGGTGTTCTTCGTTGCCTCTTCCTTGGCTTGCTCGTTCAACTTGGTGAGGAGTTGCTGGATCATCTTCTTCACCTTGCCGAGCGGGTCGGCGCCCACACGCACTGCCAGGGCCGACAGCATGCGGCTGTTCAGGGCAGAAGCCCGCTGCTGGAGGAAACGAGCCACCTGGTCCTTCCGATCTCCGTGGCTATCAGACCGGAGAAAGGCCAGCACGGAGCCTCGTGGAGAACGCTGCAAAAGCCCCGGCAGATGCTTCTCTGCCTTGCCAGCCACGGAGCCACTGGAGATGATTTCCTGCGCCTTGCCGACGGCCTCAATCTCCTCCTGCCGTGTCTTCTGGCGCTCGGAAAAAGCCGCGGCCTTCTTTGCGCAGGTCGCCTTCAGATCCTTTGCAAACTTCTCGTCGGCCTCCTTCTCGGCCTTGGTCTCTGCCAGGTCACCCTCTGACGATGCCTTGCTCTGCACTTTCTTGGCCTTGAACTGCTCCTTGGAACTCTTTTCCTTCTTCGATTCGCTGATCTGAACCGTCAGCTGCTGCGCCAGAAGCTCATAAGCATGCCGCTTGGCCTCAAAACAAGGACAAGATCCCGTCCCAACGCTTCCACACATCCACCCTTCAAACATGTGCATCATCACCCTCCCGCCTGCTCCTCCTGCTCCAGCTTGTTGCGCTCGTCGACAAACTTGTCCGCCAGTGTTTCCAGCATCTGGATAGCCGCACCTGACTGGAACTCGTAGGTCTTCGGCTCGGGCTTCTCGGACTCGGTTGCCTCCATGATGAGGCTCGGCTTCTCGGACACGGGCTTGGGCTTATTTGCGTTCAAGTATGCATCAATACTGTCCACAGCCTCACTTGGCATCAGCTTGAGGCTTTTGGCGGCAGTCAGCTGCACGAAGGAAGTCTTCTTGTCCTCCTCCTTAAGAGCCTTCAACGCACGGCCGATGGCATCAACCGACTCCGTGTAGTCCTGCAGTGTGGTTTGGAACTCACCCCGCTCCTTCTCACGAAGCTCCGTTGCCTCGGTCTTCTCAGTCGTCGTAGACTCGATGTCGCTTGTGTGGGCAGCGATCTCGTTCGTCAGACGCTCCGTCTCAGAAATCGCCTGCTGAATGTCTGCCTCCAGTGTCTCGATTTTGTCAGCCGCGTCGCTGATGGAACGGCCTTTGTCTGCCAACGTCATCTCGCAGAACTGGTCAAACTTTCCGAACTGGACCTGTTCGGCTTCCATCTCCTTCTTCCCCTTGTCCTTCATGTCCTCCAACATTTGGATTACCTTCTGGACGGGGGTGACATCTGACCTTGCGACTTAAGAACAAGGCCAAGATTGACATCGGCATCAGCATCATCAAATGGTGGATTCCAGCCCTGAGTCTCCGGCGCCAAAGCAGCAGATGCTGCCAGGACAAGGAGAAGGCGCTGCATTGTGAGTGGGCGAAGGGAAGTCTGATGAAGTCTCAGCTCACACTCCCGCTCGATTCGCCGCGAATACACCGAGACTATGCGTGAGACACAGAACAAAGAAGAACAACGAAGAAAAGCAATGGCAGCAGAAGCACCCGTCGTGCAGAGCAGTGCTTTTTCAACCACGGTTCAAGGCTACCTGCGCTGGATCAGCTAGCGTTGGCCATCTCAGCCAGATAACAAACCTTCCATTGTGACTTGGGGATGGCCCGTGAAAGAAGCCAGCGAGCCTTCGATGTGGCCGATGTGGGGAACTCGCCATGCTCCAGGAGAAGGCATGTTCAACACGTGGTCACCCGAAACATCCTCTCAATGGCTCATACTTCGCATTGGCAGCTGTGACGGCACGAGGTCGCACGCATCATCTGTGCCTTGATCATATCCAGCCGCTCCGCCTGACATGACTCGGCATCAGCTCGGGCATGAAGAAACATGAAAAGGCAGAAAGGCGCAAACGCACCAAAAGAATTGGATCATCATGCTTCATTTCAGCTTGGAGCCTTGTCGACCGCTTCATCCACCAAGACCGCCATCCAGTTCACAGAAGTAGCTCCGATCAAGTCGCGCTTCAGGGGGAAGCATGTATGTTATCAAACACTCAACTCTGCAGGGTCATATGTCTTCGAAGTGCCTTGTAGCTGTCTCCACAGTGCAGTGCATGTGACGTCGGTGCAAGACCGGCAACTTCTAGTGCCTGCAGCTTTGCAACAGAGAGAGAGAGGGAGGGAGAGAGAGAGAGTGAGAGAGAGAGAGAGCGAGAGCCAGACCCGGAATTTATATACACATCCACATACACACAGAGGGACACTCTGTGCACAAGCGACCACATGCAAAGACTGCACAAGGGCTTAACACCAGACCATCATCCTGAAGGGTTCGTGCTGAAAATGCAGGCAGTACTGCAACGATGTTGCCAAGGCAAAATCATGCACCTCACAGGCTAGGGTGCTTAGATTCACGCAGAAGGTGGCAGCGCTGGCTTAGCTACGAGTAAGTCAACTCTGGCTGTGAAAATATCTCCTACAATGTTACAAAGCTCCTTGGGCCGGTTAAAGATATTACGCAGGACATTGCCCCAGCTGCAAGGCATCGCATACCACGTATGGCAGTTATTGGCATTTGCAGGTCTTACCCGTGACCTTGCAACAGGCTTTCCCACCGAAGTCCCTGCTGATTATTACAGTACGCTATTGCAGAAACTGCCACCTTCGTGAAGATGATGGCGGATGGCTTTTCCTGGCAGGCCAGCGGACTGGTCTGCGAGAACCGTACAAGCAAGTATACTCTAGTTTGCCAGGAACGCCTGACAATGCCTGTCAAGAGCACAGCCGAAATTCAGCCGGGAATCTGCTCGGGCTTCGTATGATGTCAGCACGAAGTCAAACTTGTCCAAGATTCCCAGATTTTGGAGAATGACTGAGAGCCTGCGTCTACCTAGGGCCTAGGGCCGATCCGGATACGAACTCCCTCCTTTGGGGCTTTTGCTGCTGTATTAGTGTTGTCACGGTTCGGAACGAGGACAGTGCACAAGCTCGCTCCAGCTAGTTGGGGCATGGGAGTACCAAGCTGTGTCACACGCAAACAAACACACCAATTGCAAGCGCCAACGAGTTCTTCCCCGCCCCCCAGACTGTGGTTTCCCAAGTGCTGTGAAGTCTAGACATGACGGCTTTTTGTTGCTGCAGCGGGTGCCTGTTCCCTGCACCTTAAATACTTGGGTCCTGGGTGACTTACCAAGCTCTTGGCCTACGGCCAGCCTGCCAGGGGGAGGGGGTCTTTTCACTTGGAGGCAGTCTTGACTTGACTTGCTTGTGCCTGTCATCCATATTCGACATCACACCCAGACGGCAGTCATTCGCGGCACACCATTCGCGAAGAGATTCCTTGGGCACCAACGGAAAGCAAACGAAGCGCGGGGTGCGAAACTCCGAACAAGAGAACAAGATGCGACTCTTGCAGCAGGTGCTCCAGCGACCTGACAGTGCGTGGCAGGAGCTCCCAGGCCTCCTGCCGAAACGTACCCTGGCTATCTGCAGACAATTACACAAGCGCCCCGTTCGTGTCCTGTCCACAGAAGACATGTCCGTATAGATCGTCAAAAACGGCTTCAAAGGATTCGCCGAGGTCGGAGACCGCGATGCCAGCCCCTCAAGCTCAGCTCATGGCTTCGCACTCGCGCTCCCCTCGGACACTCCGCTCGGATGCTCCGCTCGGACGCTCCGCTGAGCCGAAAGCCTCCCATGGTGCCTTCCACAACAGCCCGCCTTTCAAGGCACGCAGCACCCAACCCACGAGAGCTTCCTTGCAGACGCAGCACCACCACTCGCGACAGCCACAGCCACCGGCCCCGAAGCTGGGAGACAATGACGACTGGCGAGAGAAGATGGCAGGGAAGACTCGGGTCATCTCTGCAGCAGACACCTGCCACTTGCCGCGAGTGGCTCTGCACTCATGCGACTCCCCCGAGGCCTGGACATCGGGTCTCACCCGGTGCAAAGCATTTGCATACAGGTCTCCGATGGGTCTTCGCACCCGCATCAGCGTGCCAGTGCTGTCC